TTTATTAATTCTTTATTGCACCAGAACTGTTTACAGGAAGCGAGGTCGACTTTCTACAAAGTACGCGTGGGGGCCTCTATCTCAACTATATCTGCTGCCAAGCTGCTGGTTTTTAAAGTAGTTTTGGTTGAGGAGTAAGGAGAAGTGGCTGTGACATTATACGATATTAAGGCATGCTAATATATACTCTATACTCTATGATTAGGATCAATTAATATGTAATTGGTCTTAATCATAGAGTAGAGATTGCAAAATATCATGAAAGCACCCCTACTACCCTAGGAAGGGATCTTAAATTTCGTGGCATTACATTTCAACTTTACAAGTTTTAAATATTAAAATATGAACAGCTGTGACTGTGCGACTTATGGATACCCCCTAAGGAGCATCATGGGCGTCACATAATAACGTGTATAATAATAACGTGTATACATACATATGTCAAGCCTCTGACCAATAAATCGATTCAGTGGTACAGACACACCTAATATCACGTTCTTGTTATTGACACTGAATCCGTTATTCGAGAAGCGACAACAAACTAATTCACCGTAGAGGTTACCAGGCCTCTTTTATAGCACCCCAATTGACTATGAGATCATTAAAGTTCTGCTGGGGTAAAATGTCAACAACGCGCCAGAGGAAACGCTATACACTTATATATTATGTTATTTACGTATGGGATTTATATAGAGGAGATTGTTTAATTAACCGACTTCAAAAATAAACTGGAATGTCCGGTTGGATACATTGTATCTTCACGTCTTTCATTGATTCCTTTCAGTCGTTCGTCCCGAAAAGGTAACAAAAGCTTACCTTTTGTAAAGGTACCTTTGCATTTATAGACAATTGTTACGTGACCTCGTCTTTTTCTATTTCAGATAACAAATATTCTATGGCGATCTGTTTAATATATTCATATAAATTTTAATTAGGATTCATTCAGATGTATAGGTACAAAAAGTAATTATCGAAAGTTCAGTTGGGGCAAACGTTCTCGGGGTCGATCGCCAACGCGATGGACTGGCCCTATTAAAAAGACTATACAGCAATCCATAGTACAATGTTACAATATTACATAATATTTTTTTATGTTTAGCACGTCAACGACAGTTTAGATATAAAATCCTTACTGTTTTGTATCTAAGATTACTTAGGGATGATGTACGGTGTACCCTTTCCCCTTTTGCCTATCAGCTGTCAGTTTAATATTCACGCCTTTCTTAAAAACATCATTTTTCATGCTCCATCAGCTTTCTTTGGTGATATTTTGTTACATAAAAACGATAATGTTAGTTGTTTTATGTACAAAATCTGTTTTTATGTAATCTTCTATGAATTTGTTACACTATATTATATGTAATTTAACATATATATGTAATATTACTATTGTTGCTGGCAGCTTGTCTATCATTCTTTTTATAAACTTTATATTTTTATATCTATATATTTATACGTCACTTTTGACTATTATATATTGTTTTGTTACTTCTTGCTGTGAGCCCTTTTGGGAAGAATACAAATTTTTACTAATATTTGATTTTTATTAAAATAGTAGTTGTGTTCCCGCTCCAGTAACAACTATGCACAAGAATAGTGTTATGACTGTATTTTATTATGTGTTTTTTATATAACTGGAATAACGTGCATACGGCCCACTTGATGGAATGTGATAACAGCAGAATTACGGACATAACGCTAACTTACTGACACTGACACTTGATGCCGATCATGCGTTGCCATTCCAGAGCACTAAGATGTCATGACTCTTATTCTGTAATTTCACTATCTGATTTCGCTCTTTGACAGAAACTTAGCTTCCAAGCAAGCTGCTTGGCGGCTGAAGTAGTTCTTTTTTAAAGTAAGTTGAAAGATGTACTCACGCAGACGATTTTAACAGTCTATCTTGGTACTTGGGTTAGGATACAACTAGTACAATGCGGGATGACTATGTTATGTAAAGCAGTAACCATAGTCTATATAGTAAGTTTTGTATATATTAACATACTTTATGAGAGTGAAAGAATTTCTCAAATCGGTTAGGTGGTTTCTGAGTTATCTTTCCTTAGAACGCAATTCGGGTTCCTCTCTCTCTATAACATTAATATGATCTTATTATTACACTAAAGATCCGCAAAACTTTGTATGTATCATATACCGTCATTTTCTTTGTTTTTGTAACATTTTGCATACAAGATATTACATATAATTACAATAAATAAATTTTCAAAATCGTATCAATAGTACCGGATATTATCCCAAACATTCAAAATCGCAAATTTTACACTTCTTTCTAATATTGGTGTAAATTGAAGTGATTAATGGCAATTAAAATATATAAAACGTAAGGTTGCACTTTGCGTTGCACACTACTTGTAGCAATTATCTACGTAAGACATACTCGTAATGAGATCCAATTTAGATTCTGCAATCTGAAATCTATAGTTATATTATTGATGTTTCACTGTTAATATTTAATTTTAATTAACAACGTATTCTGACTTTGTCTTTACTATGTACATTAATTTGTACAACCTAAAATAAATTTTTAAGCTTTTATTCTATATATAAAACGTATGGTTTTACTACGGGTTTATTACCCGCTTCAATCCCAAAGGTATGAGATCTTTTTCTGACCGATACTAAAGAAAATTGACATGTCAACATATATGTTTGAATAACTCTGGTGATTGAAACATCGACAACTAAACATATTAATTGGATAGCGAGAATTGGTTGGCTCCATATGGCACGCGAAGTGTGGGCATGTCAATACTTGTGTTCACCATAAAACCGTCAGTTGACTGCACCTCTGACTACCCCATCTAACATAATTAGTTATAAAGCTATATTATTTTAACAAAGCCAAAGAATCTAAAGAAGCCATCGTTTGTAAGCGACTTAATAATTAATGCTTATGTGATTGAGCACTATCTACTATAATTTACCGATTTACCCAACTGAAAAAAAAATACTGTCCACTATTGAGCACAAATGGTCCCCTATAAGGTTCTAATGTTCTAATTTTCTAGAAGCTATTACCGCATTACTCGATAGCTTGCTATAATGTTTTTTGCATTTCTTTTTTTTCCCTAGAGTTTCTGCTTAATTGTTATGGATGAAAAAGAAAATATTCTTAATTCGTATTATTACAGAAAATATAACAGCTACCAAATACATAAATAATATTTTCAATTGTAACCGACTACAAAAGGAAACGAAGAGTATTTTTTTTAGAATTCCTTTAACTCTGGCCTCTGACTGGCACTATATATTTTGAACAAATTAAATTTTTGTTATCAAGGTTCTGTTTGTGGATTAATTTTTCATTGTTCGTATTGTTAAGAATTTTTAGTATATGTTTATTGTGCGTTTTTTGCTAGTCATTGCCAAACACCATAAACCTCCAATAATCACTCTAGCACCTCAACAAAGTGCTGCTGATGTATGCTTTTACTAAATAATAATAATAACCTTCCTGACAAAATAATTCGCTATCTAGACCCAAGTTAAGCAGAACTTATGGTTACTTGACAACTAATGCAAATAATTAAAAGCGTTTTTTTTGTAATTCTATCGTAAAAGTTTCAGTGTATGGACAATAACAGCGTAACGTTTAAAAATATATATATACATAGATTGATAATAAACGTCTAAACCAATACAAACAATCATACTCATGAAAACAAATGTTTGAATCATGAGAGGAATCGTACCAGCTACCATCGGAAGTGTAGCCGTGTATGCAAATTATGTTCTTTACATCTATATTCGTGACATATTAAATTTTTTGTTTATTCAAGTTTTTCTTTAAAATATTTGTAAGAATTTAATTAATTGCCGATACTTCCTTCCTGTAGTTTCCAACTTCAGTTGACCACTGAGTGGGCTATCTTGTAATATTATCAAATTAGCTACACTTCAAAACTTTTGTCATTAATTTAGTAATTACCTAAAGTTATTCGGATGGTGCGGCTTAAAATTTATTCAGTTTCAAGTTTCAATTATTTCCTACGGAGATAAATTACAGGACAGTCTGTTTGTGCCTGATAATAGAAAAAACTTTCTTGTAGGCTTTGAATTATAATATTAAGTTATACCGTAATCTAGATCTTAGATAACAGTTCTTAAATAATACTAATACTTGTATCCTTTTACCAGTAATCGGCCAGTGGTCAAAATTCGACCACAATAAAAACTTAAAAGATCATTGAACCAGCAAAAACAACTAAATAAAGTATATATACCTACGTGTGTGTATCAAATACATGATAGTATATGCAATGTTTATTTATTGATTAAAGGTATTTTTTATTATAATAAAAATATACATATTAAAACTCTTCCATCCACGCAATTTTCATTAAAAGGGATGTAAAGTTATTGCTCACGTATTAATATATGGATTTACTACGTGTATTTTCTGCAACATATTACTCAGTAATAAATAAAATTAATTATTATATTATTATTATATTTATATTAATATAAATAATTAAATGTTCTATTTTAATATAAATAATTAATTTAATTAAAATATTTCACCGGATAATATAAGCTTTCGCCGTGGCCTATTTGATTTGCCACAAAACCAAGGATGTAAAATCTATCCTATAAACACCAAAAGCCGTATAAATTTCAACATTACGTTAATTATGTGCTGATAATATAGATAATTTAATAAACGAGCTTAGAAAAAAGGAATTGATATCGTTAAATGTAAATTACGCACGCTCTACGGCGTTACTCGCTATTAAAATTTAATGAGCTAAATAAACACGAAATAGACATCATCTCAATCTTACGGAGTTAATGATACGCGATCTTTATACTCATCTATTTTATTATGTATAAGTTCAATGTACATTTAAACCTCTATAAAATCTTATAACAATATATCTTATTAATTATTATTAATGTTCAAAGTTATAGTCATATATTACATCGAAACAATTCGTAGTTTTATTTTTAATTTGTTTTGTAATAAAGAGTATACTAACCTTTTCACTCCAAAAGTTTTTCTTGAAGTCACTAGCACTTTCAGTGATTTATAAATAAATATAAAATATATGAAACCAATTTAATAATTAATTAATCGAACTGTATATTTATATTATTAATTAATATAATTAAAACACCATTTTAATAAAAATGTCAGAAAGAAGTTTTTATGTTCTTTTTTCAAATAAAACTATGACTGCCCAATACTAAATTTGAACAGATTTTTATTCGAAAATAATGGATTATGAAGAGGCAAAGAACAACTACTTGTTCGGCCAAGTTTCTACTTTATCGTATGCTATCGACTGTAACGAGACCACCGTGCGAGTGGAACGCTGGCTCTATGCAGACTGAACGGTCGGCAGTAACGCCATGGCTGTAATCTATTCTTTTGAAAATCACCCCTGAAACAAAAAAGAGCCTGTATCTGATATTTATAAAAATTACTGTAATATTCTCTACGATTTTGTATATATTTGATTTAGTTTTGTATGTTATTTTAAATAGGATTGAGTATTTTTTTACATATATGTATAATATCTTAGGGATGTAATTGCTGACACGACAAAAATATAATTATAATAGATGAAGTTAAGGTTGACTGTCACGCGTCTTTTAGAATGTAGTGACCTAAATCACACAAGCAAGTACAAATTAACTAATTAACCCGTTGGGACAGATAAATTACGTCCAGCAACTAAACAAAAAGAAATATATTACCTGTATTTGTTTATACAAACCGAATTGTTCGAGTATTATTCGTTTTTATAATGAATAGGAATTACTAAGTTAATATTATGGGGACAGGATATTGTCGTTAAGACTTTTAAGGGAATTTCTTTTAATAATAATAATAGTATTTTATTTATTGATAGCAGTAACGTTTGTGACAACATCTTGCACATCGCCTTACTTTTGACAGTATGGGGTTTGATTCTCGTTTAATACAAAAAACTGTGTTTTAGTATTCCTAAAATAACATTAGGACTAACATTTATGGACTCTTAATACAAACTTTATTTAGTTGGAGGCTAGATGGTAGATACTCTGTGAATTATGCTCGGATATTATTTTTATTATCCTCATGCAAAGGTCAACAAATCTGCTGACTAAGATAACAGCCTGGCGGAGATCATTACTCTAGATATCTGTAAACAAATACATCAATAACAGATTTTTATATAACTTTTCCTCCATTATTATACGTACATTAATAAGAAAATTTCATATGTATTTAATGATATTTTATATTTCAATTACAGATGAGAGAATATTTCAATAAGGACTATATTAATTGCTTATGTGAAGGAAACAAATTGACTGTGGTAGACTTTGTAAAAATTCGTGCATGGGTATATATTTTATTATATACTATATTATATTTCTTATATAATATATTTTTAGTACACCCATTTGAGCTGCTAAGTAGCCTGCTTCGTAAGCCTTGTTTCGGTTGCAATGTGAGATCAGCCCGTTATAATCCATGATAATGCCATATCAGTTCTTTGGAATCGATATGCATCAGTGGTATCGCAGTCGTCACATAAATCAAAATATCTTTACTCATGTATGTCTATTACGGACATTACAGACTCTAATATGTGTCAAATGTAGTGTCAGTTCGGAGTGCTTGCGAGCTAAGAACTGACAAGAAACTTTGCTCTTATTCATTTTAAACGAGCTTGTACATTACTTTTATTAGAAATGAATATGTTTACAAAAAAAACATCATCATCATCATCATCATCGCAGCCCGGAAGACGTCCACTGCTGGACATAGGCCTCCCCCAAAGATCTCCACGACGATCGGTCCTGCGCTGCTCGCATCCAATGCCTTCCAGCGATCTTGACCAGATCGTCGGTCCACCTTGCTGGAGGCCTTCCCACGCTGCGTCTTCCGGTCCGTGGTCGCCACTCGAGGACTTTATAAAAAACATATTCAATCTAAACTCTAATTGAGGAGAATAGAGTGACCTCCATAATAACGTAATGTCTATAATGATTGTAATGTATGTATTTAAGCGTATGTAACTCAGATAAATAAGTCCTTACAAATAGCTGAAAATAAAATTGAATTAGCATCATAGAAAGAAACATACCCAAATCAAACAGTAATAATACACATACAAATAGTCACACTAATTGTATTTATTTTATTTACATTTCTGTAACATCTCTGTTCGAATACGGTGAACGAAAATACCTTTTGATATGGTCCTATTCAATTAAGATTCGATTGTGTTCAAAATTCAGCTGGTATGCTAAAAATAAAGATATACGAATGACTATTATCCTAATTGCGTATAAATAGTCAATAGCATTGCACAATGTTGCCATTGTCCAAAAATATCCAATTACATTTAGCCGAGAGTATTCTAATCCAACGTAGCTGAAAGTAAAGCTACCGGTCTCACGGATTAATTCGATCAGATTGGAGTCACTGCTTTTTAGGTCTTCTTTGATTTCGGGTTTTGGGTCTGACACAATTCTATTTAGAAAAGCATAGAATTCATTATAGCACACCTCTGCTACATAATAAAAATGAACACAATGATATAATTGTACTGCCTCTGTGGTTTAATGGTTGCGGGTTCGATTCCTTGCACAGTACTAAATTTTTTATTAGTAAGTATAATTGTTTGTATCGGTCTAGGTATTCTTTATATATATTATGTATGTTTTTACAAAATAAATGTATTTAAGCATTTCTATCTATAGTTGTCTAGTACCCAAAACACAAGCTTACCTTTGGATGGCGCTGTGTGAATTGTCCAGGTTTAATAATATTATTATATCTATTTGGCATGCTAAATAATGAATAATCATAATATAAATAAAATATTATATATATTTCATAAAATATATATAATATTTTATTCATTTATCCCCTTTGCCATAGCAAAGGGGATAAATGAGATTGCGGATCACCTGATGATAAGTGATTACCGCCCATTAGCACCCGCGACACCATGAGAATTGCAAGTGCGTTGCCTTTTAGGATGGAATAAATTCTTTTCTTGAATGTTTCAATACGGTCTCGATTTTGGACGGAGTTTAGTGTACAAATGGATCACATCATTTTTAAATCACAGTAAAACATATGCAGATAATTCTACGATATTAAAATACTTTAAACGGAAATGTGCTACATTTTCATAGAATCCTTTCAGTTATGTTTATGACTATATGTTAATTGTAGCTATTGCATCTAATTATTACGTTTACATTATTCAGAATAGGATCGGTTTGAATGCATATTTACTGAAACGCAATAATTAGCTATGCAGACAATATTACTGTCATTGCAAATGTCGTATATAATTAGAATACGAACAATATGTACGCCATATTGCAGTCGCGGTTAGTTTTCACTGTAGCCTATATTTAGCACATTTATGTATACTTAGTTTTAAGTTTGAAAATATTTTTTGTACGTAATATTACATTATTATTATTATTAGTATGTACATACTTTCAAATAGTAGCGGCCCCAACGTAGCCGATAAATATGTAATTTCAATTGGCTTTTTGGAGTTGTTATATTACTTTTTTTTACTACAGATAAGACTCATTTGTTAATATATTCTAATAAAATATAGTTTGTTTAAGCAAGAAAATAATTGTGATGCGTGTTACATGTCATGCCAATCCTGAAAACTAAGTTATATCTCTATAATCTATAGACTATAAAAGGTCATCTGTATAAGTACCACAGTGTCGTCAATTGAAGTCATCAAGCAGCTAGATTTGTACGCTATGTTTACTTTGTGCTATGTTACCTACAACTGAAAACAGTACTAGGGGTACCACATTAACATATGTCCACTAATCCCCTCCGATCGATACATCGTCCAATTCAAACGGCAATCGAAATTACGACGGCCTGAGACGAGTTCTGAATACCTAGCAGTGCCCATTGAATAAAGTTGTATCCGTCAGGCAGAAGTTGACTTTAGAAATAAGTCGACCTAACAATATATATCAGACCTTAGACCGACTTATTTCAAAAGTCAACTTCTGCCTGGTGGATACAATTTTATTAAAAGAACACCAGTAGTACCTGCTAGTGCATTTACGGACCAACGCCGCCGAAGTCGCGGTAAAATGTTAACGCGACCTCGCGACTCTGACAATGCTCACATCGTGTGATTTTTTAGTGAGCTTACTCACAATAAAATCCAATCCACCTTAACTTAACCCTCATACTGAGGACTGTCTGACGATTTATACCACACGTTGAAAAACCAATTGACTTTCAGTCACTCTATAAATTCTTTCGCGGATTTCGGATGAAGCTGTAAAGACAAGCATCTAAGACACCATTAGATGAGTTTTAGAAAAAGTGACCACTCATGCATGCGACCATTCATTCCAGGCCTCAGATCTCATGCCTCCTATCCTGTAATTTCAAGTTATCTCCTTTAATTAATATTTCGATACTTCATCGGTAGCGATGTTTGTAACATTTGCAAGTAAATGCGACAGCCTGTAAACTGTTCTAACACGTGTACACACTCGTAAACTGTACGATATGGCGCTCGTTACGAAGTTTACGAATACATTACGCTGACACTACCTGCGTAGGCCCTAACAGGGTTGCCAGCTTTAAAATATTTAATTTCGTACATAGAAGTAAAAAATATCATATATCGGCTCAATTTTGGTCTCTAACATCGTATTTTCGATGATCTCGGTGATGTATAGAACACCCAAATTAATGCAAGGAATCTAACCCGCGACCATTATAAATATGGCGATGTGCTAAACCGCTACACCAACGAGGCCATCGAAAATATTATGTATGTATTTACAAAAAAAACACAAGTTCTGCTATACCTTCAGCATTGAGGAAAAAATAATAACAACAAAGGCCAATTTACACAACGAATGCGCTGTGTAAATTGGCCTTTGTTGTTATTATTTTTTCATTATTTACTATATACTAAAAATACTACTACTAAAAATTTCGTACCGGTAGAACAGTTTTTGCACGGTTGGCATCCTTGGGCCGTAGGACAACCGTTATATATTGTACACTACAAGATAACAGATGGCGCTGGTTTTGCTGCTCGTTTCGTTACACTTCACTTATTTTTTTTTATTGACATGGTAAACAAGCTAATCGCCCATGTAATGGAAAGTGACAACCGTCGCCTATATACATGAAAGTGTCCTGCACATTACGTCACGTGACGTAATGTGTATGACATGATGATGACGATAAAAATGATGGCCTATCATTGCTCGCAGTACCTCTTATGCACTCCATGTTCCCTTGAAATCCATTGTGGTTAACCAACTATTTAAAAGTGAATTTGCGGTGATGGACTAA